GGGGGGAGGAGAGAGAGAGAGGGAGATTTGAGGAATGTGGACTGACTTGGGAAGATGATAGTGGTATAGCTTGTTGGCAGAAGAAGTGAGCAAAGGAGAGTGGCTCACTGACAAGAAGGGAGACGAGAAGAGCGAAGAAGAGGGAGGACTGCTCCACTGGGTACAGAATTATATACGGGTCAGCCTAAATTTGTAAATCCCGTATAACCCCTACATATACAACCAGTTAACCTAAGACGTGGGGAAGGAACATCATCGGCCCACTATGGTAGAGATCCTGTATATTCGCTGGCTGCCTGAGCCATTTTTAGCCGAGAAACCATCCAAATTCTACTATAATTCTGCATCCAAGTGGGGTACATGGCTTATACTCATATACACTATTCGCGGCTCCTCAAAACTTTATCACTACCTCATTCAATCATCTGACCCTGTGGTTTCAGATGGCTTGTAGTATTGTTGTTAATGGAATTCCCTGGAGGCTCAGTCACATGCGCCCTGTTCAGCTTTTTCTGTCACCACGTCTGCTGACTGTTTACTTAACGACCAATTCTGCAGTAATGTTTATCATAGAACTCATTTTTGTCCACTATTTTGTCATGCGAATGAATCTTGCACTTTTGGATATTATTCATACGATAGAAGAAGAACTAGAAGGACGTACCAAGTCTCATAATCATTTCTTCCCCTCAATTTCTCCTGAGCGACCAGAAGTGAACGAGAGAGAGGGAGAGCTCCTGCTCTTTTTTGATCGAACTACGAGCGAGATGTAGAGGGTTTGCTCAATCCCTTTCTTCACCTACTTAAATAAAGCCAAGTCTAACATCGCCCCCTTTTTGTCAAATTCGCCAAACCACTCAATGTTTGCAAGTTGCTGGAGAGAACCACTCCTGGAAACTTACTATTTACTCATTTACCTAGTGTTCCAGTTAGTTTTACGAAGATGAGCGAAATAGTCTTAAGGACCAATGTGGCTGGGAACTGTGTCATTGTCGCGATAGACAGCCTGCGTGGGGTAAAAGACCTACTAGGATGGGACATACGCAAGAGGAAAAGCGAATAAAGGCACCGCTTTGGGTACCTTCCGTTTCAGTTAGAAGCATACGAGTGATAAAGACCTAGAGGCTGCACCATTCACAGGAAGGGCATCCATGCTGGAAATTCAAGGAACTATTCGTGACCGATGATGACAGTGGAAGATATTTCTGGACCCTTTCGGCTTTTTACGCGATTGCAACAAATGAATTCTCGTCCAAAACCATTTCCATGTCATTTCCGTCATGGCAAACTCGTACAAACCCAACCTACCCTGGACTCGAGACGCCCCATTTTTTTTACGATTTCGCCGATTTTTTTTTGCCTTCTGCACCACCAATCCACTATTCTCCACTAATACTTTCGCTTTCTAACTGAGAAGTATACCTCAAAATAATGGAAATAGCTGTTATTCTATGTGCATGGATGTTAAGACAGTTGGTGGGTAACCTTTTCCTTTTCGAGTATGTCTTAAACTTTTTCGATGATCTCCATAACCCGCTGAAGTGATAGCCAAGCTAACAATTTCTTACATTTAGAATCTTTAAAAAAAGACCAACTCGCCAACCGTATTCTATAAAAAAGTTCGATGAGTGCTTTGGAACCGATAACATTCAAGGATGACCAGCTTGAGCTTTTTGATTCACTCACTCGGTTGAGCACTTTCTTAATGAGTTAATAATGTTAATCCCAGCCTTCATAATAGCTTACAGTATGTTGTTGTTCTACCGTATGCAATATTTCAGAAAAGGCAACTAACAGAGTAACAAAGCAATAAATACGGGAACTCGACAGAATGGACGATGGTAAGACAAGCTATACACAACAAAATATTTATATTTATTAAGCGAAAGCATTATCACAAAGTATACCACCAAGAGACCAATTGTTGCAAGGAAAGTTGTAAGTGAAGTCGTTCAGCAAGTTCAGTTTCTTGACCTTATTGCACACGGCTGAAAATTGCCTTTGCTAATTGTATTCATGAAACACATAAAGAATTTTCGCCACGAAACCACAACCGATAAAAAATGGACGTCTACGACGCGTGCGGTCGCGAAGCGGTTACGTGTTTGCTAATTACCGCGCAGAGTGCGCTTAGCGTAATTCTTATATGGTAACCTTGGAATGCTTCATTTATTATCATATTGTATCGACTGGAATTAAAAAGATGGAATCGTAGTTTAGGATGAGCAGAGAGACTTACCAAGTTTGAAGTTTTCCATTCACGTAAATTCGCAGTAGGAACTCTCCGTCGCAATCTGGGTCAAATGTGCAAGGAAGAATAACGTAGTGCCCAGGCGGTACTCGGAAACGGCACGTAACCTTTAAATAAAGTTTGTTTCAGAATTGCATAGCATTCAGCCCGATCGGTGCAACTCCATTTGATATTACTAAGTGGACGTGCAACTTGTAGGTCACCGCTGCGTGCGGTCGCGTAGCAGCTGTCCTGCTCTACCTATACAGCCAGATAAAGCAGACGGGATTGTCAATAGAGTCACAATAGTTTATTTGTCAGTTTAATTAAAGAACAGCTGTAAAGCGAAAACGCACGAAAATAGCCTCAAATCGCACAGCTCTCAAAACAAGGAAATCGAAAACGTGCCCTACACAAAGTGGGGAACTTGAAACAACTAATATTTTACTCACCTCTCTCATATTAATGAAGACCCGGGTCCGAGCTGTTGGTTTACGCCCAAGAAGATAGTCTGCACTAAGTGGCCCACCGGCACCAGAATCCACCTGAACCTAATTCGATCTAGTTTATAGAATTAATATGTAATAATAGATAATAGATCCAAGGTAGAAGCAGCATAAAACGACATAAATACAACACAGTAATATCATGACAAGGATACTGCGGTATGAGTAAATGATTGAGGTCGGAGGAGCTCGAACCTCAACCTGAGCCTGTTAGGCACCCTCTCTTACCCATTGAGCTACCGAAGTACAGAATTTCAACGCAATAATGTAATAGTTATAGATCTTGGAATAGTGTTTCAGTATTGTCAGCACTACATTCCAGTGAATCCTACTTGAGCCAATTNAAAAAAAAAAAAAAAAAAAAAAAACTAGGGATGTTAAACAAAGCGGTCACCTAACTCGTCCGAAATGGAGCGGGGCTGAAGGCTCCTGACAGCCTCTTTGAATCATAAGTGAAGTTTGTAACCTCGGACTAACCTCGTAGACAGCAAAACCGATAGGCAAACTGTCTTTGCCAATAGTTCGCATTTCACGGCGATATTTCTGTAGTACAGCAACGATTACTGTACATTTGCCGTCATGCTCAACAGAATCATCAGTCACGATGAAGTAGGAATTGTATTGCGGATTTCGAGCATATGTTTCTGAAATGAAGAAAAATGATTAGAATAAAGTCTTTGGAGGTAGTAGAGCCCAATTTCTTTGGATGCTCCCCGCACTCAACTTCCCTTCAAAATCGTAAGCGGGGTTTTGAATGCGTATGTGGTTTTTACAATGGCCTGGCCTGAGCGAGTACTGATCCGAGTTTGATCCACGGACGATGTGCGTGTGATAGTAAATCATATGCCACTACACCTCTTTGAGATAAAATGAGGACAGAAGCAAAAGAAAGCTCGTCGGGGAATCAAAATTTTTGGAGAAGGTATTATTCTGCTGTTCTGGTATAGCAACTTGTGAAGCCGCAAAATATCCCCTTCTAACTTTATTTAGGAGTGGGTCTTGTTTGGACCACTTACAAGCCAACCAAACACTTTATCCTTCTGAGAAGTTTAATGGCTCTCAGTAATCCTGAAATTATAGCTCTTAGTGCATAAGCCGAATACGCCTCTAAATTAGTAGTAGGATTTTGAATAGAAGTCGAGGGCATGGCGCAGCTTGAGAGGGAGCCCTCTCAGAACGCCGTAGTCTGTTGGACACAACTGTTTTCTAATCCTTTCAATTCCCATAATTTTGTTGATTACTCTTTCCCCTACTCATCTTTTTTTTTTGCAAAAACGGTCAACTTACCAACTCGTTCCTAACTCGAGGGAAAGTTCATTTCGATCATCTTCTAGCCTCTTACTCTCACACTCTTCTCTACTCCTTTTTGCTGGTTCTTGAACTCGTACAAGTGCGAAAAAACAGCTCAAGCTTGCTTGCCTGGATTATTTGCACAACCGCCAGCGGTCCCTTTCTGTGTGCTCCATTCGCCGTCCTCAGCTTTTTCCTCCCATTGATGTAACTGTGGATCGGAAATCGCAACCTACAATCACTATGGGAATGTGAAGAGTACTGAGAAAGAAGTAGGTTTTGCAGAAGTAGAAGCGCTCACGTACTCCAGTCATTTCCGAAACTTCATTCATAACAGCTGCTGACAGATTGCAAATCTCCATCTGCATGAAATTCGTGTAGAAGTCGTCAAATGACATCCTGTAAATGTTGTTTCCTGAGGTGACTTCAGTACTCCAGTCACAATTGATCCAAGCCTATACGAAACTTTCTAATAAGTTTTGAAACCATGGTATTTAAAAATGATCAGAAAATTGGAAAAGACGCGAGCTTCTGCGGTGCATGTTATCATTAGCCAGTTCTGTCGAAACTCGGACCAAAGGCGACATGACTTCCTACTTTCTGCTTGTTTTTTTTTTGTTTCCACAGATAAAGATTTAGCCTCAGCAGACTTTGCCCACCAGGTAGCTCCGCCTGCAAACTATAAACACACAATTTCACTGCGAGATACCACCCATCCCACCCATCATCTCCTTTCAGTGGGTCAATCCGTATTAGTACGCCGGCTTCCCTACAATCAAATTTTTATACCCATTCATATGGCGACTCTCGCCTACTCTGAATGAAAGCCCATTGGGTGAACGAAACTGATCTGTTCGTAGTCGTAGTAACCGACGGAGCAGTTACTACTATTCGCTTCACAGGCTAACTCTTTTGCACGCGACAGACTTTTTGATTTGAGGTAGCCACAAATCAGACATGCTTTAAGTACTTTAAACGACCTTAGACGAATATTTTTTGTAACAATAACTAAAAGGAAGTCCGAAATTACCAAAATTCGCCATCTTGCGCGAAGTCGACACCCAGTTCTGCTCTTTTCTGGCTATCAACATAATTCCATTCCGGCGATCCATCACTCCAAGGTCCATTCCATTCCTTAGAAACACCGTTACCTCATAAAAATAAACAACAGCATGAACTAGAGCACCTTGCTATTTCCCCATGGATTCCTCACGCGAACCAACGGTGTTTCTCCATGTGGACCGGCTACGGTGTGTAGGGCAGTGATACTGTAAGCATGTCCTCGAACCAAACCATTGTCCAGGGGTGCCTCTTTTTGATGAGGATCAGCCTGAAAGGCATGTAGCAATCTTTGAAGATTTCAAGGTAAGAGATCTCATGTATGACACGAACTTAGCAGAGAAAAATTAGATGAGACATGATTCCTTTTTAAGAAAAGAATGATTTGGCCAAACTCTAACCCGTCACAAAAAACTCACGTCGATGCTGCATCCGAATAGCGATCCCATTTGGAATCCCCGGATCATCATCGCCAGGATAACGGCTTTGTCCGTTTTGCGAAGATCATAGAATTCGGTAAGACCACCGGTGAAATCCTCAAGGGCTTCAGCTGTAGTGCCACCTTCGAGGTTCTCATACGAGCCATAAAGTCTGTGAAAACGTTACTAGGGCTTGAGAAATACCAAGTTTCAATTCATAGGTCAAACATATTTCCAGATATGAATGCTTAAAAAATGAAAAAAATAAAAATCTGTTTGAACACAGTGCTAGCGATAAAAAAGAGCGAATACGCCTGAAGACTGAAGACATAGTCGCAATAAAAGCGGTTCTAGTGATCTTCTAGTGTCAGGGGTAGAAGTCTCCGGCTCTTGAAGAAGCGACAGAAGACTTTGCTCCATTCGGAAACCGCCTAGGTAGGACCTAGTAAGTCTCGAACCCCCCGCCCTCGAAATATCGCTACCGACAATCCGAAGCATCAAGGGGCCATCCCTTCACCTCGACTCCAGAATCGCAGAAAAATTGCGTTTGTGGTTTGATTCTCAGCCAAAATCTCGTTCTGAAACCACATGAGGCTCGAAGAAGACGGGCCAAGTGTATTGAAAAGCAGAAATAACGACCTATGTCGAAAAAAGAAGTCAAACTCCTCTTGTTTTTAATATAGACAAGTGCGATGAACCGTGCCACTGAATATAAGGAAAGCAGTACATTTTGAAGTAATTCATTGAAATTTGTTTGTTAACCCAATGAAATAAATCTGAAAACTTACTTGGCATACGCTTTCTCCAGTAAAGCACTCCAGAATTCGTTGTGCTCATGCGAATGCATATAGTAAAGTCGTCCGTCTACAGTCGGCAACAGATCATCGATTACCACATCGATCCATTGACCGTATCGCCAAAATTGGAAGTGGAAGATACCTGAAAACGAAGGGCTTCAACAAGTACAAGTGACCTTTTTGTTTTTAAACTATAGAAACCAATCCTCATTATTCTGTGAGAAATTTTTATTACGATTTCCCAGTTGAAATTAAGCAACACGCAACAAGTAAGCGGCGACTAGGCCGTAACGCTGAAGAGAAGCCTAGGACTGGTCAGCAGTGATGAGCTCACTGATAAGTCACATCTTTATTATTCTAAAATGTATGGCGCCAACTAACAGAATCTTCAGGGCTTCGTTAGCTTGGGTGATATTTGGTACAAGTTTGCGATGGGGGCTAAGGCAAGATTAGCGGAGCACATATGAGCTCAGAAAAATTCCGCTTACAGAAGAGGAACGTGCACACCGGAATGGTCGCTGCGATGGGAAATCTTTACAGTTCTATTTCAGAAGATCCTCTCCACCAGGAAGAGCGGTTAAAGTTTGATATTGGGTCCCCAAATAAGACGAAGGAGAATCATTCGCGGTGGGAGGGGTGTTCCCAAAGTGGGTGGTACTTTACTGTGGTGCTCATATACAGAATCCGTGGGTGTTCCCAGTGCATGTAATGCAAAAACATGATGTGAATCAAACACACATAACTAAAATAGTGAACTCTTTTGGAATAGGTCCGGAACGAAATAACGCTGCCACAACATCGATCGTTCGGAGGTCAAATTCCGGACTGCTGTCCGCTCAAGCAATCAATCCTCCCATATCCTCGAGAGCGAGGAATTGCTGGCAGACTTGTTTGGGGAGATAAAAGCGCTGATCTGCACATCGGTCAGCCCATACTGGAATGACCTTCAGATGGGTGGGGACCGCTCGCTGCTAGAATTTCAGCTTTTAAATTTTGTACATGGGGAAATGGCCGCAGAAATCATCTGGGGAAAGTCTTTGAGGATAGGCTCTTTTGAGAGGTGACTATTCCATTTGTTTAAAAAAATCAAAACTTTTATTGTTCACGATACCTGCATAGTTTTCAGTGAAGCTTTGGTCAGGTGGCACAACTCGATAGAACAACTCATCGCGCAGCGTCAAATTTGCCACTGCCGCCAGTAACCAACAATCTCCCAGTGCACCCTGAACGCATACTTAACTTTAAGTTTATAGAGAAGAGAACTAGCAAACTAACAAAATTCAAAAAATCTAGAAATTAAAAGGCCACGTGCTAAAGCTCACTTGTTTGACATCGAACCGCGACTTATCACCGACAATTAGTTGCGGGTCATTGACGATTTCCTGAAATGTAGGAACACTGAATTCAATTTTAGTCAGAGCCCACGTTCTCTAACGAGCGTAGGATCAGGTGATCCGGTAGATTTTGTAACGTCGCTCAGGTGACATGAAGGTTAACACTGCTGTGTGAGCACCCGAGCAAGTTGGAAGCGGCTCAAGTTTTCTTGAAGCTCAAAGTTGTCCTGTGGCCTTTGAAGGTTCGCCACAGGACAAGATTGAGCTTCAGGGTTGTTCCGGGCTACTTTTCGGTATGTGCAGAAAGGTAAATACTTCACTGGTTAACATTAAAAAGGTTCATGTTTTTAGTTTGAAGTTGACTCTTTTAGCTGTACAACCGAGATATTAACAAACTTTATTAGGCTGACGTTTCGGTGCCTTCACCTTCCTCGGAGCCTTTGGGACAGTCGACCTTTGGGGTCCACCGATCCAGCCTAAAGAGTCAACTTCAAACTAGAGGAAGAATGCCGAGATTCATCGACAGTCGTTCATGTTTTTCTTCAGAATCTTTGGCCCCATGCCACAGGAACGAGGTCCCGCACGAAGCCCGGCACATAAATTTTCAATCAAAAATCAGTGCGGAACAGGCAGTTTTTATTTAATAAAATGAAGGCTATGACATTTGAAGAGATTTGAGCGGATTTGCGACATCGCGTTATTTGTAAACAAATTGTGTAAATCAAAGAACTAGACTCAAGGAAGAGAAGAAATTTATCTGTTGACGTCACCGCTTACCCCAGGACGTTTCCACTCTACATGCTGATCAGGTGGTGTTTTAAAGTACAGGCTTCGGTCAGCAGCTGGAAATTCCGGATCTTCGAAGAGAATTTTGCTTGTCAGACAACGTTCGCGTTCCTTGTAGAAATCTAGCCCAAAAGTCGTTGCACCAGGTGTAGGGACAGGTGGAACGAATGGGCGCACCTGCAACAAGTGAATAATCGATATTACAAGATTATTTATTTACTTGTCCATCTATTTTATTTAAAAGATTTAATAGTAGGGATTTTTCGACCCTGTGTGGGGCTAACCTGATGCCATTAGGTCCTGAAATTCTGTTGGCCTCTCACTGGTGCCCTTTCCCTTGAGCTCTTCATTGGTCCAAGAGAAAGAACACCAATGAGAGGCCGGCAGACATTTCAAGAAGCTCGTCGCTCACCTCAGCATGTCCATATTTGTAACCTGTGTTTTCCCAAAAGGATTAGATACGTATCGATCGGGATTCAGCGGACCCAACCGTAATGAAGACATTGGTTTTACAATACCTAGTAGCTAAAATTCAAGAAAACTCACATCTCTCTTGTATTTTCCACTGATAATGTTGTCCAAAATCAATTTTCCAATACTTGTCAGTGAATTATTACGACCACCCATATTGAAAATGATATTACCAGCTATAGCACCGATTATAGCACCAGTTTCCTGAAAACCATTTCCTCGAAGGAGGAAGGACCATTTCCTTGACCATCGAAAAGGCTATACAAGAGCCCAGATGAAAAAATAGTCATACTGGATTGATTCCAAGGAACCGATGAGCCGCCTCGCCCAACATTTTCTCCACCATGGATTCCAAACCGCCGGATGACATTATGTTGGTCAGACCTGTAGGAATAGAAAAAAATAAATTATCATACTTTGATTGAAATGGCATCACTGGGTTTTTAAATGGTATTCATTTATTGATTCTTTCATTTCTCTATTTATATGAAATGATCCAAGAGGCTTTATAAAAAGATTTACGAAGTTTACGAGTTGAAATAATCAAAAAATAAAACAAAAGAGCAACATCAAGAAAATGAAAAGTAACAGTGTACGATTCTATCCCAAGTGGTTTGAAAGGTCGTCTTATATTGTGCTGGAAGACTTTGAAAATCCCTACCTCAAGCAAAATTACAGCCGATTTTGATCAGTTTATTAAATACAATAACTGATGGCTGTAAAAATTCAAAAGTTCCAACTTACCGCCTTCTCCTCCGGCGATTTTGCTAATGGAGCCGACCAAATCTCCCAAGTTGGAGCCACCAAAGCCATCTAAGGCTCCTAAAAGAATAAGCATGATTTCGAAAAATTTATTTCGTTTGCTTCCAGTTGTCGATTTTAAAGAAAACAACGACTGTAGATATTTCGCTTCTGCGCTTTTTCACGATTTCACTTTGGGTCAGTGTTGACCCCCTCCCCACTTAACACTCACATCAATGTAGTCATGTGATGAATCAAATCCAATCACGTCGGAGGTCAAGAGGCACCAAGGTCATCAACGCAATGGCGGCAAAATTGCTAGCTCGGACATGGGTAATTTTGTGAGCAAAATACTATAATTATCGGAGTCAAAGCTGATGGGTCTGATCATGGAAAAAGCAAGGAGGAACGTATTTCGACCATGAGAACTGCAAGGACTGTGTTCTTTGTGCTCCACGGATCCTACTCATTTTTGAGAGGAAGTCGAAATGAAACGACTAAGCAAGTCCATTTCGTTCAGTCGATGAGCGTTATAAAATAAAAGGATTAAGAAATCAGCTGATCAACAAGACAGTAGACCCAGCTATCGCTAGATATCTAAGTTCCCTTTGCCTGCTCCCGACCAGCAAAAAATTCCTCTGGAATGTAAAGATTCAACATAAAGTTGAAGAAGTCTAGTCACACCCTTCACGAGACTGCCGAGTCCGCCTCCTCCACCGCCGCCATCTCCAGCTGCATTTGGGTCCTCGGCATTTGTTTCATGGCTTACAGCCTGTTCTTCCTGAAATGATGATTTCCTCAGTCAGACTAAATTCATGGATTCAAAAAAGGTGTGAAAACTTTTCTCAAACAAGGTGACTGAAGAACTTGCATGGGATCTGCAGCGTTGTATTACATTCATAGCAACTAACCACTCCGTAGTCATCGTCCTCGTCACCCTCCTTCTCTGGCTCAACTACCTCGTTGTTCTCAGACCACTCCTCTGGTTCGGGTTCAGGTTCTGGCTCTTCCTCGTATTCGGGCTCTGGCTCCTCTTCAGCTTCCTCATATCCTCTTTCGTGGTCTTCGTCATAGTTATATCCTTCCGCTGAAATTGAACTCCTAGGAATCTCGATGATGTTTAAATTTCTGCTGCTATTTTTACATACTTTCAATGACAAATATTCGCCTGATGGTCTCCAAAAAAAGTCCTAAGCATCAACAAAAATTCTGAGGAGATTACAAAGCCTTGAAAAAAGAAGTTTGTTCGGAGATCACTTCGTCAAAACCATTGCAAGTATGCGAGCGGCCGCAAGCAGCGAATAGGAAGTCAGCTATGAATCCCTATCCAATTTACTGTTGGGGCTAAGGAAATTGTAGCCGAATGACTTTTGACCTCAGTTTCATTGGAATTCCATAATGAACTCACCTTCGCCATCCTGAGGTTCCTCATGGTAGTAGGCGTCCTCATCACCTCCACCTTCTTGATAGTAGCCACCTTCATCATCCTGAGGTTCCTCGTAATAATAATTCCTCTCTCCATCCTGATCTTCTGGAGCTAAAAAGACAGGTCTCCCATCATCATATAGTCCCAGCGACAAGCAGAGGGGTAAAGTATTCATAGATGCAAAGCCAACCTTCTCCATACTCCTCATCCTCGTAATGTTCTTCGTCTGACATAGAGTCTGGATAGTCAATGCGAGACGGTCAGAAGTCTAATTCCTAGAAAAGCACACATTCAATTGCAAAAAAAAAAAGGATTTTTGCTCGGAAAATTGTTTGTAGCGCAGAAAAAACGGGTGCTTACAGAGGGAAAAATAACGGAAAAACATAGATAATTTTTCAGGGGAAAGTGTACAAATACATCGATACACTCACTATACAATAGTATACTGTACTATAGTACATTACACTTTACTACTATACCATATCACATACTACAGTACGATATCTCCGCAAATGCTGAGAGGGGATACTCGAACGATCACGAAGGTAAGTATAAAGTTGTAAATCGGAAAATAAGAAAGGAATCGGGAAAGCTATTTAGAAAATGATCACAGCTGATATATATGTATCGTATCCCAAAATGGAACACGCGCTGTCATACGCTTTACGTGAGAGTCAAGCGTCGTTCAAAGAGATAATGGAGGTTGAATTAGTGCAAACATTTTGTGGAGAGAGAATGCTGGCTCCAAACAATACCAATGATTCAGAATGTCTAGAAAACTCCTACATCTACATAAGTGATTAACAAAACCAACTGGTGGTTCCGTAGGTTACCGAGGTGACGGAGATAAAGGGGAAGAGGTAGTAGGTATATCCTAGCCCGTTACCATGCAGCGAGGAATAAACGAGAATAATGGACCAGTTTCAAAATTTTTGTGAAACGTTTTATGAGGCTCGATCCCCCCATTTTAAAGATCAGAGAGTAAACAAATTTCAAGTAATGACTGATCAGTAGTGTGGTTTACAGAAATGATATAGCTGGGAAGCTCGTTTGATAATACGTGCATCTGGTTGGGCTAAGCTGGGCAGTGACAGGTGGAGCGCTATCAAACTCTAGCTTCGTAGATCGAATCTAATCAAAATCTGCTGAGAACAATCAAGCCTCTCTAGCTCGAAAATTCGATAATGCATAGCAGTTTGACAAGGGTATATGGCTACCTTATACCCATAACGCTGGGTAAACATTGAAATTCATGACGGGGAGCTCTTACTTGGCTCCAAGTATTTGCTTATCGACTGAGTGGTCATGAAGAATGTCAGGAGAAATAATGAAATGGGAAAAATATCAAACACAACTGATTCATGAAAGAAAGGAGGGGGTGGAGAGAGGGAGGCAAGTGACCCGTTGCACTGACTCAGGATAGGCAGCCGTTAAAAGGCGTCAAAAAGAAATCGGGTGGAATCGAGAAAACGGCGCTTAAGCCTTCCATCTCAACGTTGCTAAATTGGTAGGAATCATAAGCATGATTGCAATTGTCGTACGCATATTATAAATATACAGTTATCCGAAATTGAATTACCTCTTGTTTAATTCTTGGCTTTTGATGCCGTCTGGGAAGAAAACCCCCCTGACGTGTTTCGTTATGGGAACAACTCATATTCACGCAAGACCACGTTACCATACGCATTCTCTCTGCATTTACATATAAATGGAACCAATTTGCTCTTTTACTGACTCCTATCAAACCCAAGTGCTTACATATTCTTTCATTTTCACCAAAAAAGTGACCGACAGCACGATTTTTCATTAGCTATCAAAAAAGTAGCCAAATTTACCTAGAGAAGCGTAGAAATCTCGAGTAGAGGGATTTGACCATTTTCGAGGATATTCGACGCTCATACAAAGATTGAACGACTACATTTCCACTCCGGAGCACAATGCGAGGTAATATTCGAAAAGGGTTAAGGCCGAGTCACAGTATTGTATAGAGGAAACTGCTCGAGTTCAACAGGCAGCGTTACAATGCCCACGGTATGGGGAAAAGGACCATAGGAACATGATCGGGACCGAAAAGGTAGAAGTTACATGTAACAAACCAGAAGTTACATGTAACAAACCAGTGGATACGGATAAAAAGCCTGATAAAGGACAGAGGCAAAGGCAACCGCATAAAAGAATATCCAATATATCTATGTGTTATACTACAACACACTGGA